TTTTGTTTTAGTTTTAGTAAGCGTTTCATGTCACTTGCCACACAATATGGTCATTATTTAAGCACCCAAGGGTAGAGTTGTTTTAAGAGAGTAACAAACAAAAAAAGAGGGACGAGAGATAAGGACAATATATGTTTGATGATAGGAAAGAAGGAGCGCACCACACGAGAGCACCCACGGGTCATTTAAAAAAGAAGCATAACTTAATAAAAAATTAATGCGGATTGTCCAATTTTATATTTGCTTGAAACCGAAACAGAAAAAGGTGGGCACAACCATGCAGACAATGAAATATGACAATTTGTGTGCAATGGTGCAAAATATGTGGCAACTTGACTTTGGTCTGCTGATGGATTATTGTGTCATGATGCGGTGGAATCAGGCGCTCGTCAATTCTAGGGTATGTGGAGTTATTGCTATCAATAACTTCATAGCTTCCTAGTTTGTCTATCTTGAATTAAAATCGAAATATTTGCGATTTAAGGAGAAGGGGGTCGTTTGGCTTCAGAGATACAAATAGCGATTTCAAAAGCTGTAGTGGCCTTGGAAACTGCAAAGTTTCTATTTTATTGCCTTGGATCAGTGAAATCCATAAAGGAATGTGTTTATAAATGGACTTAAAAGGTCTTCTTGCTTCATGATCTAAATTATTATCCAACAGGGGCGCAAAAGCACCTACATTAACCCCCCCCCCCCCAAACCCTCAAAGACAAAATAAAACCCCCCACAAAAAAACAAACAACAACAACAACAACAACAACGACGACAACAACAACAACAATAACATGAACAATAACTACAACAACAGTCTGTGAATAGGTATACACAGACTTTGGCCATAATGAAATGTACTCATTTTTAAATTCATTTTTTCATATTGCATAATTACATAGTAGTAAAAGTGCCAAGCCGCTATCCTAGATTTAGACATTTCCGTTTTTTTGAGACAAAGTGTATTACAAAGACAATTGTTTTTCCTTTGACTTTTCAATATGATTTTTAAAAAATAAATAAATCAAAATGAGTTTGACCATATCATTGGCAGCACCATGACGATAAGATTAATATACACCATCGACAGCACACTACTTTTAACATCCCTTTGCTTTGCTTTGCTGTCCTTTGCTTTGCTTTACTTTGCTTTACTTTGCTTTATCCTTTCCCTAGTATCGTTTGGTACCCAGGAGAGGTAAACATTTCGATCAAAGGCTACTGGGGTGCAACAGTTCGTTATCTTTGAATTACAAAGTTTTATCTGCTCAGTAGCTAGTTTTGAGAAATTTGGAATAAAATATAATTATGTTCTCTCAGTATCTTTTATTCATGCTGTTCTGTTCTGTAACCTTTTATGACTGGGTGATGTCATCAATGTGTACAAGGGTGTCTGGGTACGTTTTGTGGGATTGTCGTTACTGAAGGATGCACTGGAGAGAGATAGAGAGAGACAGGACAGAGAGAGTGAGTAAGAGAGACGGAGAGAGTGAGGAAGAGAGAGAGAGAGAGAGAGAGAGAGAGAGA